CAAGTTACCATGCCATGGCCCAGACCAGTTAACTGAAATTTAACTGAATAGGTGTGTCCCTGGAACCCATGCTGGTATGACTCTGTGCTGTTTGAGGTCTGGGACAACCCGCTGGGACTGTGAAGAGGCAGTTACACGTGTCAGATCTACTGAGAGGATTAAGTGCTAGCTGAACTACCTGTAGTTGTGGTAAAACCAGCAAAGCAACCAGGAAAACAAACAGGAAAACTAGTATCTGCTCCAGCCATATTCCCAGCATGCTTTAAAGGTAGTGGTTATTACGTGGATTTGGTTAGTAGTGTAAGATTTAAATCTCATTTCTCTTTTAGTCTGCTCCATAAAATAACTCTAAATACTTTTACATCACTGCAAAATGTTTGGATAAAACACAAAACACCTTGGAAGCAGCTGTGCTTACCTTCCAGCGGTGCAGACACTGGAGACTCCCGCATTGACATTCCTTGCTTTATATTTCCTTCCATTGTATCATAGCTTCTCTTTAAACCAATTTCATGAGCAGTTCTCGGACTCCTTGTTCCTTCATGAACGTTTTTAATAGCTGGCAAAATTTACAACAGCGTGGTTAGGAAATGTGGACAATAAAAGAAGGCACATGAGCATTACATTTAATGAGACCACAGGTCATTAATACTTTAACAACGCGACTTCAACAAAATATCGTAACATTAAATCTCGACCTTAAAAAGATCTTCTATGGTTTGTTAAAAAATATCTTTGTTCAAACGGTTACTAATTTATCAGTATTTCAATTGAAGTTCCAAGTTGAATGATACATTTCTTTTGATTTTAATACAGACTGTTTTAAACATGGTTGTTTAACCTTTCAAAATAAAAAATACTCAATGACAAATTGAGAATAAATGGCACAGAAATTAAATAATTTAACTATATTTTAACCACATAGTTCTGAAGAGAGGAGACTCTTCAGAACCCAGGCACAATTTCTGGATTACTTTAATTCTTATACCCTCCAAAACAGATGCAGGTGAACACTTCTCCGAGATGGCATCCCAGCGACTGAGGTTGATACCTGCCCATTTGGAAGCAGATACACTCCAGCTATGGACTATAAAAGCAGAACCTGCTGCAGCCTTGACTTTGATGAAGTAGAATATGCAAATACTCACTATCATAAGATAAAATATGCCCACTTTTGCCTTCATAAATAACATGGCCTTTGGCTGAAGCTTCCTCTCGGCACTTTTCTGGGCTGCTGTCTTCTGTAGCTAGCCGGGTGATAGTTCCCTTCAGTAACGCATCAGCTGCTATGCCAGACTGGGACAAAGCTGGTGTACCCTGCATTTAAACCAATCAAATCTAATTCAGAACATGCATATTTATTTAAGAGAACAGGGAGCAGTGAAGGGGAAAAAAACCACCAAAACTAATCCACAACATTTTTTAGATCTAGAAAACCAATTACTTTATCGAGCCTTATGGCTTAAGCTTCTGCCTCTATTATTAGATATTTAACCTAAATATTAATAAGATATTTGTAGGCAATTTGTTACCTTGTTAAAAAAAATAAAGGAAGACGAATAGGGAGTACAATATTACAGAAGTATTTCATGACCTAGGACATTGACCCTGTAACACCATTTTGGGGGAAGATAGCATATACCATGTAGTTTATGGTGCCATTAGGTTTTACTTCTATCCAAAGTAATAAAACCTACCCTTCCCAGAAGAGAATTGTTCCTATTGATTTGTGTAACTAGAGAGCCTGAATCAACCAAAACAGTAGTGTTTAAAAAATGATGAGATAAAAGGGCTTAATTTACCTTTTTGGCTTTAAATAGCATCTGCGCAAAACTGGTTACAGTTGATTTTAATATTTGAACTCAGGTGTGATGCTATTTTCATGGAAGTTGCTAATAAGCCTTCAGTTAGGTGTACCAAAGCGGTGGTTTTATTTACAAAGTTTAAAGACACATGAAGATGAAATCATAGTAATGCTTCAGCAACAGTGGGATTTGACCACCTGATTATATTAAAATTTCTTTTTTCGAGGCAGTTCCTACCCTATGATATTAATTTACTTTTTCAGACATGTAAATACATTCATGGTGATAGATTAAATATGCTGTTTTGCTCCAGCCTTCTCAGCAAGGGGAAGAATACCTGAGTTATGGAGCCTCTCAAAGAAGGAATGGTCTCAACAGAAACTTTATTGGTTGGAGTTCCTCGTGTTATACTTCCCTCCTGTATCGTTGCGGTACCTGATTTGAAATAAGACATCCTGATAAATTAAGAGAATTAAAAAGAAGTAGCTACTCTATATGAAATAATTAAAAATACTAGTAAGAACTGTTAGTTTCCACTAAAATATAGGGAAAATTTCCATTTAACATCAGGCATTTCAGGCAGTTAACTATTTCCTCTTTTAACAGTCTTTTGCAGACTAAAAGTCTTTTACAGCACGTGAAACCACTAATCCATGGTATTTAGTTTATTTTCTTTTGATGTATTTGGCTATTTCTCATGTATTGCTCTGTGTATGGTCTAGTGGACAACTTCATTTTGAAACTGGCATGCCTTGAAACAAATGTTTTTAAATGAGACATGCAGACAGGAGGAGCTAGTTTCAGATACACATGCCTCAGAAAATAGGGAGCAGATTAATCACATAATACTTAAAAGTAACACTTCAGCAGTTTGAGCTGTAGAAGTTAATTCTCTCAGTTTCCTCAAGCTCTGACAAAGTTTCTTAATCTGTATGACTTTCTTTACCTCGAACCACACTTTCATGTTGTGCCCTGACCAGGAGTCCCTCAGGCTGGGAATTCTGACTTCTGGGAGAGAATTCTTCTTGTTTGATATAGGGCAGGGAGGCTATTCAGAAGAAGAAAAAGAAAAAGTTTGGAGTTTTTTTCTTTAATTATGAGTCATTAAAGAGTCTATATAAAACACATGTCAGCTTTTCTTTTCTTACCAGATTTGGCTGACTCCTGCTGCCTTGGCAGCCCAAGAGATATAGAACCCACTGATGGCTTTGCGGTTTCTTGGGTGTAGGAAGCTTGACTATGGGATGTTAAGTAAGTGCCAGGTGTTCCCTGAAACAACAAATATATTATATGTTAATTCTTGTTTCTGGAATGAAGATTCACATCTATGTTTAAAGGAGAACACTAATACTACTATGATCCTATCTTAAAACACTACAGTACACCACCGGCAAATATCAAAGTGCACAACACCAGGAGTGTAGTGTCACTGTTAGTCTGGAGGTGCAGTTCACCTAAACTGGGCATCCTCAACCATGCTACTAAATGTAAATAACTGCAACATGTTCTATTTTATAAGGCACCTGTAATCCCTGTACTAGATGTTGAAGGCTGGTGAAAGGGCAAAAAACTGATGGAAGCACAGATTTTCAAATAGCAATTCTCTTACTTGTGAGATTGAGCCTCCCATGATGAAGGAAGGTTTTTCTGATGGCACACTGGTTTTGGAAGATGGAATGAGCGGTGGTGGGGGTCTAGTGGGTCTGGTTGTTGGAAGGCGGACTCCTTCAGGTATATTGGTTATTACTTGGTGAGGTGCTGGCTGGAGAACTTGGGGGAAAAATTGTATGTTAAACATTATAGTCTGTTTCAGCTCTACCAGTTGTTAGAGAGACAAGAACAGAAATAGCACAGTTCATCTGACAATTTCTGATGGGAATAGCCTCACAATATCCAAAAGCTATCTAGCTGTACTTACAAATCTGAAATTCACTATGCCCAAGTGTACGTTACACATAGAAACTGAACAGAGAATATCTAACCTTACATCAAAGTTCAAAAAGAAATAGCAAGAGCTGCACTGTAGAATTGCAGACTCTGGAAACTAAGCTTTTAAAAATAACAGCTCAGGGTACATTCAAGTTTTTTGTTGTTTTCCTGTTTCTAAAGAAAGTTCTTACTCTTTAAATGGAATGTAATTGAGTCAAGTATCATCTAAGTTTCCCTGATTTTGTCTTTTCTTAGCATGACATTATACTCTGAAGAGAAAAGCAATAATCCAAGTTTCAGAATTGACAGTTATTTCACTGTTTTATAAAACATTCAAACTACAATATTAAGCAATTACAATCAGAAACTAATGCCAAGGACAGCAACAGCTTCCTCTTTTCCTCGACTCCCCCCTTTATAAGAAAGGCCACCAATAAATATGACAGTACTTGTATAAAGCTGAAAAACTCTTGATGACTTTGTTCATATGCTGTTCTAACACTTTTCAGATCACCCTATTTGCTTAATATAATGTCTTATACAGCTGATGCAGCAATAAAGAATAAAAACATACAACCTTACTGGAGCTGGAAAAATACTGAGCACCTACTGACATGCATACACGGAAACCAATCTATTTTCTTCTTTTGTTAAATCACAAAGCATTTGGAGAATAATTTGATACTACATCAAGTCACAGAGGTCCAGCTTCCAAAGACTACCTATCACTATGATCCATAACAAAATAATTACCTGGTGGGACACTGTAGCGAGCTGCATTCATGTCAGGCTGGGGAGAGGCTTTGTTGACTTCCCTTGGAGACAGCCTGTACGGTGATGCTGACCTTGCTGCTGTGTTTTGCACTTGAGCCTCCTGTTCTATTGCTCGCTTGACCTCAGCGTAAGGCATATAGGCCACCGGTTTTCCTGTGAAGGTTAAAAGTTACCAGAAAGAAAAGAACCCTGGATTAGAAATCGGAGTCAAATGGTCCAGTTTCCAGCACAATTTTAACAAAGGATCTACTCCAATGTCAGATGTATTCATCAGGTATAAATGCTTCAATTAAAAAGTAGTATTAAGGTACAACTTGATTTAATATGTTCTTATGTCTATCACTTTTATATCCAAACTTTGAAAAACTGCCTCATACTTTCTGCATGTGAAAAAACAGTATCTGGCTCCTTTAGGTCCTTTAAGTGAAAACTCCACTATTAAAAAAGATTTCATCTAAAGACAACTCCTTTCCAAATCCTGTGCATCAGCCAGAATCCCACCAGCCAAAAAGCTTCCCTTCCTTGTTTACTTGCCCAGAGAAGTTACAAATCAAATTTCAAATACCGATATTGCCTATCAACAGTGTTTAAAGGGAAAATATATTTTTTACTGAATTTAGGAAATTAAAAATCCAGTATCGGAATGTCACAAATTCCTTTTCCTTGGCAATGGACAATTTAAGCATTCAAAATTACAAGCTAGAATAAGTCTACTGCAACTGTGAAATTAACCCCTTTAACCCCTGTAGTCAAAGAAAGATGGCACTAGTCATCTCCTAATAGCTTTCTCAAGGATCTTTACTATCTTCTTTCATGGTGAAGCACTGTGTAGGTTGTCATAAGCCAATTCAACAATTTAGTTTGACAAGATGCCCCACAACACAGGTAGTGTTCTGATGTACGCAATGCATGGTTTTCAGACAGTCTGTGGGCTCTGCTGCACACAGCAACAAGTGGACAAGCTTCAGATGTGCAGTGTATCTTAAGAAGTAGCTGTTGTAATGATCTGATGACATCTCAACCTCTTCTAGTTTTCAAATTAAGACGTGCAGGCTTGTAAAACCCATTTACATTAACCGTGTTATCCCTCCCTCTCTGTCTGCCTCAATAACCACCTTGATTTTTGCTGGCAGACACTTCACCCTAGAAATTTCCCACGCCTCATAACATTGCACTGCCAATGCCAAGAGTTATTGAGGCAGTGTTTTAGTTAAATGGTACTTTTAAGCAACCCCAGACTTTCTACCTACAAAAGCAACTTCCAAAAATCACAACCTTACCCTCCCCTCCACAAATCTACAAGCTCCCTTCTCACTATTTTAACAGGCAAAAAAATTGTTATGTTTCTTTCACTTTATTTAGGTAAAAGTAACTAAGATGAAGCTTTTTCACAACATTGTTGTGAAATTGTTATGCATGTTAAATACATAATATTTGACTTTCAAAAAACCTGATAGTTTACGTTGCTAATACTGCAGAGAACAGAAACAATGCATGAGGACATAAAATCTAAGAATGCAGAATTATGCATCCGTGATGATATCTCTATCATCGTAACATTCAGCACATTAATCTCACCCAGTTTATTTCCCTGTTACAACGTACAGTTTCTGTACCTGTCCCTTTACTAGGTTTACTAGTTGAGCATTTAGAGGTAAAAGTAACAACCTTAGTACAGAACTGAGCCTCCCATTGGATATGCTTTTCTTGCACAAAAGAAAAATCAATCTTCCGCTAAGCTGTTGGAAATTTGCAAAACAGAATTAAAATAACTTCAGTTCAAAGAATGAAAATATAGCCAAGATACACAGAGAGTGTTCTGGTTTCAGCTGAGACAGTTAGTTTTCTTTTCAGTAGCTAGAATAGCGCTGTGTTGTGGATACAGTATAGGATTTGTTATGAGAAGAACGTTGATAGCGCACTCGCTAGGACATCAAGGACTTTTCAGCTTCCCATATCGTGCCAGTGTGAAGTTGCAATGCCCACGTACGTACCCCAGTGCAGTAAAACATTCCTCTTAATTGTGCTCATACTTCTTGAGCAATTCTCTCACATCTTCATCTTAAGCTTCTCAAAGGGGGTCCCCGAGAACCTGTAAATATCTGCGTCCTCTCGCCTGCACACCTAATCTTTCTGAATCCCTCTCTGTAGGAACAACTCATTTTTGGATTTCACCCAAATGGAGCCAGTTTTTCTGCCTTAGATAAGGGGGCTACAATGTAGTTATTCCAGCAGGATCTGTACAGTAGACAGGTTCCTTTAATCAAGTGTCATCAGAAAGCAACGGTTAATTATCGGCACACTAAATTTTCATTCTTAAATGAGGCAGCAGTGTAACAGGCGGACATAAAATGCAGGGTTATTTCTATGACAGATGTGAAAATGCCTACCTTCCCACTCGACATTAGGGCTCTTGGAAGTGCCACAAGGGCTTACAGCACTCCGATACTCCATATCCAGCTGCTCCTGCCTCTGGCGTTGCTCCTCCAGCAGCGCCGACTCATGCATGGCTTTAATGTGCCGTTGATACAGCGCATAACCGCTCACTGGTGTTCCAACAGGAACAGTACAGGGACTGCAAGAAACCTACAAGGAGAGGAAGGTATTAACACCAAGTAAATTAATACAGGTACTTACTAAAGTAATAATCTTGCTTAATGCCTCCACTGCAGCCGCTGTAGTCTATGTATGACGGCTTCCAATGGCCCATGCCTGTGTTGAAGCTATTACTTGTGTGTTTGTACTTAACTCACTTTCCCCCTCAAAAGTATGGTAACAAAGCAAATGATATATTTCCTCATTTGTTTCACAATTTTTTGCCGCTTCAGTGTTGTGACTGGTTTTAAGGACAACAGATACTCCTCCAAACATCACTTAAAACACCCCATACCATAGGTGGTATGACAGCAGCTCGGTGGTGAAGTTGTTGCAGGTCCATCTGCCCTTGCTTTATTGTGGATGATACCAGTATTGACCCAGTGGGATTTAACAGCGACGGCTTTGACTCTCTGCTGAAGATACTGGATAAAGAGACAGAAGGAGGAGGGGGAAAAAAAAAAACAACCAAGATAAAAGATCTTAAAAAAATTTGTAGGCAGAAGTACGCCTCTCAATTCTAAACAACCAACACATTTAACACATTGGACAAATAGCTGAAAAATCAGAATCATGTTGTGTTTTGTCCCACAGCACATCTACAGATACTGCTGTATTTTTATAACACACAGAAATACCAAAAGAAGTGTTCAAAGTCTTCAATACCAGAAATTTATGTATGCTGCTTCTGTATGTACAGTACTGCAAGAATGCAACCCTCTTCATAAAGAATGCTTTGAAAAAAATAGATAGGAAATACAAGATATATTTAGCCCATAGGAAATAAACAAACAGTAGTACACAACAGACTACTTTCACATGGAGGTCTAATATATTTGTGAAATGGAAAGATGATGACTGAAGAGGCAAGAGTGCAGAAACACCATCAACACAATTCCTGTTCTTTAAACAGATCCCAAATGGTTTGATTTCACTCATTCTTTAGCTTTCCAGGTAGTTGTGCTAGTTTGCTACCTACTCAGTCAGTATACCACCATGGAATTTTGCCTTACCCTGCCATGGAAGACCCTTCTCTTGGCTTTTCATCAAAATTTTAAATCAACGTTTCCCTCTGTTGCACTTCCAGCAAAGATTCTAAAGAAAGTCTTTCC